CTCTCTCTCTCTCTCTCTCTCTTTCTCTCTCTCTCTTTCTCTTTCTCTTTCCTCTTTCCCTTTCCCTTTTTTCCCATCTTTCCCTCCCTCCCTTTCCTTTCCCTTCCGCTCCTTCCCCTTCCCCCTTTCTCCCTCCCTCCCTCCCTCCCTCCCTCCCTCCCTCCTCCCTCCTCCCTTTTCTCAATCACTTTCACTTTCATCTTCAAAATTGTAGTGCTTTATTTTCACTTGAAATTAACATGTTTCTCTTTTACTTTTAGAAGGAAGTGAGAGTGGTAGCAGCCTCAGTGGACTTGAAGGAAGGTCACCAGTGCCACCACCTGATGCGCAAAGCAATGGCAGTGGAAAGAACAGCATAATTGTCAGTGCTCCAGAGAAACGGTCATTTTATTCCAGAATTCCACCACTTGCTAAAACTGCTAGTAATGAAGTTAAAAGACTGTCATCAAAAGAATATTCAGAAGCAAAGATTATAAGCTTGTTTGACCACTATAAGGACCAGCATTATGATGCTATACTATCCGAAGGTATTGAACATCTGTGCATGGATCTGAATGTTAAACCAGAAGAGTTTATAGTGTTAGTGTTAGCCTGGAAATTTGGGGCAGAAACTATGTGCCGGTTTACGCGTGCAGAATTCTTAAGTGGATGCAAAGCTCTTAAAGTGGATTCAATCAAGGGTATACAGTCCAAATTCTCAGATATGCTACTTGAGGTCCAGAGACCAGAAGAATTCAAAGACCTTTATAGATTTACATTCAAATTTGGTCTGGATTCTGACACCGGCCAACGAATTTTACCGTCCGATATGGCAGTGTTGTTATGGAAACTTGTCTTTTCTCAGCGTGAGCCAAGTATATTGAAGAGATGGTTAGCATTCCTTGAAAGACATCCCAATATTCGTGGTATACCAAGAGACACGTGGAATATGTTCCTAAATTTTGCTGAAACTGTAGGAGATGATCTGAGTTCTTATGATGATACAGAAGCATGGCCCAGTCTGTTTGATGACTTTGTGGAGTATGAGAATGATCAGTTGAACCAGAATATTAGCAAAGATCATAAAGAAGAAAATGAATAATGACGCTTTTGAAGATAGGATCTGCTGTTTGTCTAAAGAAAGGGTTATGTAATTGTACTTTATGCTTTTATTATGTAGAATTTTTGTCTGCTACTTAATATCTCAATTCTTTTTTTTTTATGTTCAGTATAATCATTTCCTCTGTTCTTCATAAATTTATGTTATTCTTCTCTTTCCCCTCATGCTTACAGTTCTTCTTACTCCTTCACAATTTCCTTTGTTTTGTTACTGTCATTTCATCACCAGTTTACACCCCTTCTCTTACCCATTTCTTCTTTCTTTCGCTGCCTCTTTCATTTCTACTGGGTTGTATTTTCTCTCTTCCAGTTCTGTATGTTTTGCTTTTTTGCAAATTGTATTCAAATTTGTTTCAAACAAGAATTCTTCTAACATACAGATTTCTAAAGGAAGAGTACTAAGTTTGCTTTTTTATTTATTTATTATTTTTATAGATGATTAGTTACTTTTATAATAAACTTTGTATGCATATATGCTTATTGAAGCTGTCACAAAAATTCACTTGTACATTTTGTTCCGACTTACCTTGACGAGTATGAAAAAAAACTTTTTTTTTTCTTTACGGGAAATCTCAATTACCTTATCTTTGAATCAGGCTTTTGAATAAGTATGATAAAAGATGAATCTATTAATAAGAATAGAGTTTATCAATCTAGTAAATTTGCATTGTGTATCATGTATAATCATACTTCAAAAATATTGTAATTCATTTGTTTAATGATATTCATTGGTATTATATAAACAAATAAAATGGTATGTAAAGAGTTTCTATATACTTCTTTTAATTTAAGAATTAAAGATGGGCATACCAAGGTGAAGTATAGTGGGTGTTGCTTTTCCCAATACTTTTTTTCTGTATAAAGAGGAAATTAAGAGGCTGGTACCCTCCAAAGCCAAGAAACAAAAACGTGTCTGTCTTCCTGTCTTATTTGGCAAATCAGGAAACAAATTCAACTGCAGACTGAAAGCTTGTATCCCAATAAGCAAGGAAAGAAAAAATTATTAGGTTCTTGTAACCTGACGGACATAGTTTTTTTCTTTCTTTTATTGAATTTGAAATTTCTATATTTGATACTTCCATTTGGACATGGTATGTGTTGTAAGTAAAAGCAAAAAACAGAAAAAAAAGTAAAATCTGGTACTCAAAGAACTAGAATACTGAAAAAGCAAAAATATAGAGAACTTGATGGTATAGCTAAAGTAAGAAAAGGAATTTGTAAACATGGTAAAGACACAAACATTCTCTGTGAAAATGTTTGTCATTTGCTTAAGAAATGGAATGATGGTGAAAAATGAGACACAGACAGACAAAGACAGAGAAAAGAAAGGAAAAAAAGAAAAGAGGGAAAGAGGGAGTAAGGGGGAGATGGTCAGTCAGTCAGGTATGACAAGGTACTTAACCTAATTGTAATTTGACCTGATTTTTCATGCATTTGGAAAACAATTTCATTTACCTTAATCTCGTCTACCATGATCACTCCATTACAGAAAGCTGTGTTGATTTCCAGCAGTCAATTTAGATTTTTTTTTTGCTTTGTCTCATTACAAATAAATGCTCATGACACCCTCTAATTAGGGATGCATAAAGATGTTTTTTAAAGTTTGTTCAAAATAGTGAATTTTATTGAAAAGCTGGAGAAAGGTCTTACTTATCTCAAATAGCTGAGCCAGTCGAAAGAATTGTCTCCTGCTAAAAGTTTAATTTATTGGCCGACATTGTGTGAAAGAGTAACAGTAAAATAAAGGTAGAAGACGTAAAAAAAAAAAAAAGATAAACCTATATAAAATCCATCTAGCAGATGATTTAAACAATGTTTTTGTTACATATTCAAAATAAGCAAGCAGGGCATATATGAAAGCAAAATGAAGTTGACCAATCACTAGAAAGAGAGCCCTCATATTTGGAAAGAGAGACAGCTCTTTCACATTTAGAAGGAGAGAAGAGAGAGACAGAGAGAGCTCATATTTCACAACAGCTCTTTTACAATTGAAGATAGAGAGACAGATATACACACACCAGGGGTATCATTGGGGGGGTGGGGTGCAGGGGTCCCAGACTGTTTGCTCCCCTCAAAGTCTGTCTTCCCCCCACCCCCCGCCCGTCCCCAAGGCCCACACTCACTATTTTTTTTGCCAAAGTTACACACTATAGCTCTGGTCGTAGCTTAAAAATGCTCTTAGAATAGTTTATTTTTAAAAATCGTGTGGAGGTCAGGAATTGCATCGCCATCGAAACTGCACGCATCGCTCGCCAACCTTGCACCACCCCACCCCAACCAACCTTAAGAAAAAGCAGAAATGATGCCCCCCCCCACACACACACATACACATACAGAGAGAGAGAGAGTGAGTGAGTAGGTGAGTGAGTAAGTGGGTAAGTGGGTGAGTAAGTGAGTGAGAGTGAGTGAGAGAGAGAGAGAGAGAGAGAGAGAGAGAGAGAGAGAGAGAGTGAGTGAGTGAGTGAGTGAGTGAGTGAGTGAGTGAGTGAGAGGTTGAGTGAGTGAGTGAGTGAGTGAGTGAGTGAGTGAGTGAGTGAGTGAGGTGAGTGAGTGAGTGAGTGAGTGATGTGAGTGAGTGAGTGAGTGAGTGAGTGAGTGAGTGAGTGGTGAGTGAGTGAGTGAGTGAGTGAGTGAGTGAGTGAGTGTGTGAGTGTGAGTGTGGTGTGTGAGTGAGTGAGTGAGTGTGTGTGTGAGTGTGTGTGTGTGTGTGTGTAAGATCCATTCCCAATGTGATGGAAATCATATTCAACCGTGAAAAACACAATCGTAAAATCATAATTAATCATTCGCCGAACATCTAATCCATTCTGTCTCTGATGAAAGCCAATATTATTCTCATAAATAGAGATGGACATTATCGCGATACATATCAATCGATACCTTTATTGGTCTCGGTATCCCTTTAATTACTCAAGAAAATTATCGTTTTATATGTATTAATCGATATATCGAGAGAATCGATACACTGAGACATTTACATGACTCCCATCCGCCCTCTCTCTCTAACTCACACTCTATTTCTGTCACCCTCCCCCTTCTCTCTTTCTCTTCTCTCTGTGACACTCTCACCATCTGACTTTCTCTCTTTGACTCTCTCTCTTTCTCTGACTCTCTCACTGATTCTCGCTCTCTCTCTATTTACATCTCGCTCTTTCGTTAACCCAATCACACTCACCCTCCTCTCTCTCTCTGTATCTATATATCTATCCTCTCTCTCTCTCTCTCTCTCTCTCTCTCTCTCTCTCTCTCTCTCTCTCTCTCTCTCTCTCTCTCTCTCTCTCTCTCTCTCTCTCTCTCTCTCTCTCTCTCTCTCTCTCTCTCTCTCTCTCTCTCTCTCTCTCCTATCCACATATCTATCTAGCTCTAACTATCAATATTGTATTTTTTTCTCGATAGTAGCGCTCAAAAAGTGTGAAAGAGGCAGGACTATCTCTTGGTCATAAATGAACGGCTTTTTGATACTCTTAATATATGCTATGAGTGCCGTGGACCCAATTGTCAGTTGCAAGTATAATTGTTTGGTAATCTATACATCAAAACATCCACTCATGTCACACATGTTCGAAAAAATATGTTTGTTACAATATTTTAAACTGGTTGCAGTGAATCAAACATGCAAATCAAATCTTTACATATGTTTGGATATTTTCTTACAATAACGTATCGGTGATGATGTATCAACGATACATGTATCGCTATAACTATCGCTGAATCGATGTATCGAAATCGTGTCAGCCAATTTTTTGAGTATCGATGTAGAGGTATCGCCTCAGACAATTCTACATATCGATACCCTTCACAGTTGATAAATGGTTCAATCGCAGAAGCATATACAACAGTTGACCAAGCCCCATTCTCCTTGCGAGGAATCACACAAAATAAAACAGCAACAGTATTCAATCGGCGTATTAAATAGTCCAATCGTAAAATACTATATAGTCCCCCCTGCGTCCGAGCTCGCTCTCTGCGACGGCCCGTCCCGTGTGCAAGCGACCCGAGCGATGACAACCAAGTAGTCTCGCGAAGAAGCTGCGAGTCGACCAAGTGAGCAAGATGAGTTTACGTTCATCTTATTTGCAATTTGCACTCTGAACTTGTCTTTTTATATCGTTAGGAACATTAGATCATCAAGTTTTTCATCCAGTTAGAAATGCTGAGGCGGTAGCTTTATTTTGTTTAGAGGTGTTCTGAAAATCAAGTGATTGGGCAGTAATTGAAGCAGTTTTTTTATAACGTCAAATCAAAATCACATTAGAAAATCGGTTGAGTCATATCCTAACATTCCATTTGTTATCGAGTGCATATTCATGAGTATGAAATTTGTGCTCTCTCATTACACGAAGTTAAAAATCACAAAAGGTTCCAGACAACTTGCTTCCACTGCTGCACAAGTAACATGTAACATACTTCAAGATAGACATAGTTAATAAATAGTTATAAAGTATTGTGATTTAGGATTTAGATACCACATTATAGACAAGCATGGACTGATATAGAATTAACATATTCATGACACTTAAACAAATGATTGTTCTCAAACTGAAGTTGATTATCATCTTGCAAATAAGTGGTTTGCATTTAGCATTTATGGGCCAGCAGGGATAAATATCAATGTACAGAATTGCAAACATAATCAGAAGTAAACAGAAATGACTCTGCAAAGGCATAGTTATATAGAATTCTTAGTTAGGGAATAAAATTTTGATGACATAAAAGTTCATGTTCAAGAAACTTCTAAGATACACTAAGCATAATTGTGAAATTTCCATATTTATTTGTGAAGGAGAAATAACAGTAATTGATGTGATAGATGCTCAGAAGACATGTGCAATGGATTTCAAAACAAGAACTTCTTTATGATTATGCTGGATGCAAACTATTATAGAAGACCTCTGCTCTTTTAATACTCCAACAAAGGCCAACAAATCTCTTAAACCAAAACAAAATATTGATGACAGAGAAAAAGCGATGGTATGAACACACTAAGGTATTCTTGTAAAGGATATAATGTTGCAGTTATTCAATACAAGAAATAATCTACAAATGCTAATGGTAATGCAATAAAGGTAATGTTACCGAGAGCAATGGACAGAGATAGAAGGAAATGGACACTGGCACCTCATAGAACATAAGAAATATACTCATAGAACACAGGTATAGCTGTGGCAGCCTCATGTTTACCATAAAATGATGAAAATATCTGCTGCGTATCACTGCTAATAGACCAAGTCCACAGCACCCTCACACATCCTGAATTTTTAATGTCCTCTTTTTATAAGTTGACACAAAGTGCTAATAAAGGGGGGGGGACAGAGAGCCATAAGTTTGGGTTTTGGGTTTGCATGATACCCTGGTTTGGGACTTCGTCTCTGGAGGGTGTGTCGCTCTCAGTTACAAATACCACAACAATTAAGGAGAAAAGACCACGGAAAGTATGATTCACAGCCTAAATCCTCTCAGTCCCTCCGAGTTTCAGCTATATCTTGATGTCTATACTGAGGTGAAGACAATTGACTGGTTTGTTAAAATTGTGCAAGGCTCGACCCAGTAAATTTTCATTAAACGGACTTGCATATAGACAGAAATAAGAGCATATATATCAATCTAGATATGCTTATCTACCATATAGATAGATAGATAAATATATATATGAGTAATAGATAGACAGATATGCATTTATTTCTGTGTATATTTATTTCTGTATATACGAATATTCTTTGGGTTAGGCCTTGCACAATTTTGATAAACCGGCTGAATGTTATTGGGGGTGTTAGGGTTCAGAGCGTCTCATCAACCCTCCCCGCAGGCATGCCCTGTCAATTGTTGAATAAATTTTCTGGTGTAGTTGGGGATTTAGGCTCTAAATCCATACTATAAAGAATTACCAAAACAATTATAATGATTGTAAAAATGCCCCCCCAAAAAAAAAAAAAAAAAAAAAAAAGAAAGAGAAAGAAAGAAAAAAAAAAGTATTAGATATGAAAAAAGTGCAAATTAGAAGTAGGGCCAAATCTATATAGTCAAGCAATGCTGTAACCTCTGTGCTTTGTATTCTAGGAATAGCAGGCAAACTGCCATGTTTATTCTGGTAAGACCTGTAGACCTTTCTGGCAATTTTTATGATAAGGATGTATACATGTTTGAAGTTTGTTGGCCTTAGCCGAAGCATGAAGAGTGGCGGCAACTCTGTGGTTCTGTTCCAGACAGTTATCAGTTTTCTAAATGATGTTTAGCTTTTTATATATTTTTTAAAGAAATTGCTAAAAGCTCAAAAAATACTACAAAACAAGGTGACTATCTTGTTCAGTAAATAAAGGGTAGGTAAAACTTTGGAAAATTGTTGGAACAGTGAACTTTTTATATAATTTTTACCAGCACAATAAAAACACTTTTCCCCTTCCAAAGTACAAAGCAGAGATAAAAAGAATGATCTCTGCTGCAGGATTACCAGTATTTAAAAGAATGAATTAATCCTGGTAGATTCTAGCAGGGATCCATTATAGGAAACCTTGCATTGACATAATTAATGATGGATGATTTTGTTTTTAGCTTTGGGAGTTTCATCACGATAATGAAATAGATCTAAAGTAAATGTGTTCAAGTATCTTTGTATTGGAAATAAGCAATATCATATGTTGCACATCTTTCAATATTGAATTTGGTAGCATGATCTTATGGCAATAAAAATTTGTAATTTTTAGTTATTTCTTGATTGTCCATTTTTATGATGTTTCATAAAGTGTATGTCAGACCCCCCCCCCCTCCCCAGTGCATGAATCATATGCTCATGAAAATTATGAAAAATGTGGATGATCCCATTGTCAATCAGTTACTGAGTGGATAACTCCATGTTGTTGGTAGTTAGTTGCAGTATTCTGGGAAGAGTATAGTCCTCATATTTTTAGCCTGGCTGTATGCAACTCATTCAGCATGTGGGATTTTAACATTTTTAGCAACTGTTTACTACAGGAGTAACTACAAGTACATGTACAGGCTTTCAGAATTGAAAAGTTTCTTGTAATTATATTACCTGTATGCTATCAACATCCAACTGAAATTACTAGCCCACAGGTAATTACTTTGCACTCTGACAAAAGCTGACAAACTTCTGCCTTGTATATTTTGGGAAGATAGAGTCAGTACTAGTTCCTTATATGGTAATGAATTGGCAGGGAGGTCTATATGATTTGTCGGTTTGATGATTATTGTTGGAGTACAAATCGTAAGGCCAGTGGCAGGTGTGGGACTGTCTTCTAAACACCCCACTAATTATTTTCTGCACCTTTTTCGTATCATCACAAGTTTTAATTTTGACAAATTAATACCTGAAGTGAAACCATATATGTTTATTTTGGATTATTTTATTTTCAGCAAGTTGCTTTTGGTGTTTAATACAGAGCAAGAATGAAGTGGTTTGGAGGAAGTATTCCAGAGGCAATTAGTTCAGCCAAAACACAGAATGCCATATTTGTGGTATATGTTTATGGTAAGTAAATAGTACAAAGTTGTTAATGTAGACTTTTTGTTTGAAATGTACATCCATCCATACATATACATGTTCATACATTTGTATGTTAGTAATACATTTATGCATAGAAATCCTTTATACATAGAATACATGCATGAATAGAAAACATACATGAATAGAATACATACATGAATAGAATACATACATAAACAGAATACATACATAAACGGAATATATACATAAATAGAATACATACATAATTAGAATACCTGCAAAAATAGAATACCTATATACATCCATACACATGTACGTACATACTTATGTACATACTTCCGTACATACTTCCGTACATACTTCCATACATACGTACATACATACTTCCATACATACATACATACATACGTACATACATACGTACATACATACGTACATATGTACATACATACGTACATACATACGTACATACATACGTACATACATACGTATATACATACGTACATACGTACATACATACGTACATACATACGTACATACATACGTACATACGTACATACGTACATACATACGTACATACATACGTACATACATACGTACATACATACGTATATACATACACACACACACACACACACACACACACACACACACACACACACACACACACACACACACACACACACACACACACACACACACACACACACACACACACACACACACACACACACACACACACACACACACACACACACACACATACATATATACATATATATACATGCATACATATATACACAGCATACATGCAAACACACACATACATACATACATACATACATAGCTTATAAATGTAATGACACAACTCTGCTCTTCCTCTTGTCCGGTGTATAGTTTTATGTGTCAAAACTTAGCCCAATCGACCCATTTGGAAGGAATACTTGCCGTTCCTACAGAACTTTATATAAGTTAATTTATTATCTTTACACACAGATGGCTTTACAAGTACTTAGTCAAGGAGTCAGTATTAGTTCTCCCTATCTCACCTGTTTACCCTTTAATTAAATTTTGGTATGCTTTTGTATTTTTTTTGTTGTCTTTGTTATTGATAATTTAAGAATAATTTGATAATCATAATATCAGTAAGAATAACGGTATCATTATAAATAGTGTTAGAAGGAAAAATACATTTTCCCGCTATTTCAAGGAATGGGCAAATCAGGCGCGATCATTAAGGACTCATTGGTGCCTAAGCGCATGTGGAGCCATCTGTATGTAACAAAATTCACAAAAACAGGGGACGGTACATAAATCTGGGTTGATTAGGTTAGAGAAAGGATTGCCACTTGCAACGATATAGATATGGCAAGCCTTCCATTTGATCATGCATTAACAGATGTCAGTGTGCGACTTTAAAAGTATTTTGTTAATATCTGATAACTTTTAATTTGTAATGTTTTTTTTATTTATTTGAAAATATCCAGTTTATACCGAGTTGGTTTTTGACTTTTGTTGTATCTTCAAAGTTCAAAATATAATACGTCATTAAGAAACAAAAATATTACAGAGAATGACGTCCAAGGTATTAGATCTTTAAAAGATATTGGATTAACCATCGGGGCTATTGGTGTGCCCCATTAATGAAAAGTGTAGTTTTAGAGAATACTGGATTTGAAGTTTAGGAGACTTTTTCGTTCTTATTTTCATCATTCATATTTCATCAAACTTACTGTTATGTAACAAAGGATAGCCTAAAGTATCTGCTCTTCAGGGCATCTTGTCCAAATAAAATCAGTGATCAATAGATCAGAGAAAAGGTACAACAGTGTATTGCCAAACCTATTTTTCCAATTTTTCTGGTCTAAAAAAAAGTCAATGACATTTACTTTTTCAAATCAGTTGAACAATGTATGATTAACAGTATAAATTGACCATCTCTTTTTTGTCTTTCCAGATTCATCAGATGCCTCAAAAGCTACTGATGAAGTCCTTGTTGACACAGATATATCAGCAGTCTTGAGTTCAAATAAGTTTGTAGCAATTAAGCTTGAGAATGGTACTGAAAGTGCCTTGCAGTTTTCTCAGATCTGTATCCTTTTAAAGAATGCATCATATAGTTACTGTGTTATATTAGAAGAATACCAGTTTATATTCAGCTTAAAAAAAATGCTTTTTGGGTTGGGCTGGGTCAGGGTGTATTAGAATGGGTTAGTTTATGGGTAAAGTTAACCACAAGTGGACCAAGAGGCAAAGGTAATAATAAGATTGCTTAGGTTTCTATTGGTTGTTTTTGACATGTTTCACACAAATTTGGTAGAAAAAAAGTTATTCCCTCTTAGGCTTATGAATCTCCTGGGAGGGGTCATATCTCTATGGCTCATCAACCCCACAGATGAATCACATCATGAAAAACCATAAGGAAGACCATGGTGTGTCCACTTCCTAAGACCATTAAGTTAACTTGTAAAAATTAGTTAGTGTCAGTAAAGCTATTGATTAGAGAAAGAATATTCAGTAGATACCAACTCCTGTCCAAAGGTGTTTTCAGGCCAACTGGCCAAAAATATATGTATCAAATATTTTGTTAGTTTAAATGTACATATATAACATTATCATCGATATGTTCATATTAATGCACTATTGTCTCATGATTGAAGTGTATAAAAAATGAACAATATATATGATTATGTTATAGATGAATGTTTACCGTAACAAAACATTGAATAGATGTATTTTTGGTCAGTTGGTTTAAAAAGACCTGTAGACTCGAATGCCTTCAATTGTGCTCAGGTAATTAACCACTTCTCACTGGATGGCATGTTCGTAAATGCCATGGCTGTTGCAGACAAAGTAACGGGTAGCATCATGTCAACCATTCCCATGTCGTTGGCTCATCCGATGGAGCTTGTTTTTCTCCAATATTAGCAGCATCATTTCTATGCTAAAACTTTTAAGCAATAGCACCTATTGGAAAGGAAACCTTCAAAAAATTTGTTTTATAGAATTACATCAAAATATAAGCTTTCAGGTGCCTTATGTTGCCCACAAACTACTGAATGAGCCGGGTGCAAATAAGGGAAACTGTCAATGCGTGCCAATAAACCCACAATCATGTCCACTTGCCAAACTTTTTTACCTGGCATTATTGGGTTAAAAATGTGTGATACGTTCAATAAGTAGAGGCCAATAGGTAAATGTATAAATTTGCAAAAGTATTACATGAGTTCTTGGATTACTTGTGGAAGGTATGATTAATATTAAAATGATGGATAGTGGATATGAAAATTGAAGATATATATTTCATGTACCTCATGATGATACTTTAATTTTGGAATTTTATCTTGGTTTAGTACTGTAATTATATTGATATATTAGAAATTGGCAATATATTTTGTGGAAATTAGTTTTGAATTGATGACATACCATAGCCAATATGTGTTAAGTTTATTAATTGTAATTACATGTAGATAGCTCTGCAACTACTGTCAACAAGGAACTAATCACTAGTCCTACTTATCTAAATTGTTTATTGTTTTCCTTGGTATTTGAGTTGCGTATAGTTACCTACTAAATGTCCATGGTGCATTGTAAAACTTTTGCAATTTATATTTAATTGATTTCCTAGAAGAGAAGATAATACAGCCACCTCCATGTTTATATATCAGTTTTATTTTTGTTTGTTTAGGAAAGTAAAGCAGCATGGATGTATATTTGTGGATGTGTTTCTTCCTTGATTAATGACTTAGATCCTTTGGTGCTTGTTCCGTCACTGTTTTTCATTAGTGGTCAGACAGGATTACCATTAGAAGTTCTTGGAGGACCACTCACCAAAGAAAATATAAAGCAGAAGCTCACCTCTTTGGTTCCTGAAGAAAATCAGGTATGGTATTACATTACACAGACAAAGACACAGACACATAAACAAACTGAGATACTTGGAGACAGAGACAGATCGTGATATTCACGGACACAGATGCAGACAGAAACAAGTACATGCAGAGATAATCAGAGACATAGACACAGACACCAAAGGACACAGACAGACACAGTCACAAACATATACAAACAAACATGAACACAAACACATACAGACAAACAGAAGCACACACACTCATTTACTCATGCATACACATGCAAATGCACACACACACATCATCATTATTATTATTATTATTATTATTATTATTATTATTATTATTATTATTATTATTATTATTATTATTATTATTATTATTATTATTATTATTATTATTATTATTATTATTATTATTATTATTATTATTATTATATACAAACAAACATGTACACACACATACAGACAGACAAGTAGAAGCACATACACTCATTCACTCATGCATACATATGCACATGCACACACACATTATTATTATTATTGTTGTTGTTGTTGTTGTTGTTGTTGTTGTTGTTGTTGTTGTTGTTGTTGTTGATTGTTGTTGTTGATTGTGATTGATGCATGATGATGACACACACACCCACACACACACCCAGACCCCCCCCCCCCCCCCCACACACACACAGACACACCACACATTCATACATATACACACATACTCATGCATTTATGTCTTTGCTATAATCTGTTGCATGGATTTTGGTATAGGGACAGAAACTCTTGAAAGGAGTGTTACACTGGGTTCGTATTTAGCATCAAAGATATGTTATAAAGAAACACATGGTGACTTCAAGTTTGGTTTTATAAAAGTGTTTTGTAATTGCTCAGGGAGCTAGTGCTGCAGTGTCAGCTAATGAAAATGTGAATGAGGGTGGTACACAGAACTCCAGTAAACAGCCAGAAAAGGAAGAAGAGACACCAAAATTGACAGAGGATGGTGCTGCTTCTGCCTCTGCTTTGATTCAGCCGCCAAAAGAGTTGAGCCCAGATGACCAAGCATCCCCGTCCGGTTTAGGCAATGAAAAGAAGTCGGAGGCAAATGTAACCCCAGACTCTGGAATTCAAGATGATTCAGGAACTCCAGGTGTGTCAAGATTTATTGAATTGGAGATTTTTGAAATTAATGATGTAATTTATTTTGCATTGATATCTTAAAATATTTAAAGGAAGTCATAACAATTTTGGTATTTGAAGGAATAATCATTTGTTGGGTTTGGGGAAAGCTTGTGCTGCTTTGTAACATGGGATTTTCTTTAGACCTCAATTGTACATAATTGTTTAGCAGAGTTTGAAGTAAAATTGTTTGTTTTGCCAAAACATATGTGCATGATATTTATTATTATTTTGATTATATATTATTTCTTCATAGAACGTGAAGAAAATGACAGCGAAGCAATAGATGATTCAGTCAGCTTGGAAGATAGAGTAGAGAGAGCAAAAGTTCTTCTTGCTGAAAAACGAGCAGCTCAGGCACAGGAGAAAGCACATGTAAGTGATGCATTCAGTCTTGTTCATGTTGGTTTTCAGTCCCAACAACTAGGTTCCTTGTGTTTCATTGTCCACTTTTTTCTTTTTTTTAATGTTATTTCATCTGTAGTATTTGCCTTCTGTTTTAGAATACTTATACAGAAAATTCTTGTTGATATGAAGGGAACTAGAGTAATCAGATGTGATTTATATAACCCATAAGAACCATTGGATGGTAAACCTCACATTGACCATGCTCGAGTTACTTCCCAACCCCTTCCCTGTTTGAATTTGGTCAGTGAGCCTGTTAATGGGAAAGTTTGTTCTCCCTTTGCCTGTCCCTCACACTCCCACTCCCACTCACGTTTTCAGTGTCATTCTCACTGTCATTCTCACACACTATTGTACTGACTTTCACTCTCACTCTCACTCACTCTCACTTGTATGCCAATGCACGCCCACAGTGACACTGCATTATTCTTTTAATTAAGGATCTCCCAGAATTTAAAATCTTAATTTGCAAATATTTCCATAAAGAGCTAATAGTGATATATAGCATGCAGAAAATGACACACACATGCAATCTTTGACATCATTAGATGAAAGTCATCATACTGTGGATGCAAATGGCACTTAAACTTTTTCTTAAAAATTCCCATGAAGGTCTGTTTTTGTAAGTACTGAATTCTAGATATATTTATTTAACGCCGTGGATATTGTTTCGGCACCGGATTTTATAACAGTTTGGCTATTCGTCTGGCATACAGGTGCACTAACTATTTAAGCGCAAACACACTCGTGCATTAGCCTTGCATACAAACTTTAGAGCTATATTTATGTTGTTCATTGTTCATGGCTAAGGGTCGATCATCAATTATGGATTCCTTCAAAGTTGGAACTGAATTTGCCAGTTTTTCTGTTGTGAAGGACAGCCTGACCAAATTTTAAGAGAGCACTTTCACACAGTTTTATGTCAAAGATTCAAGGACTATTGCTGCAGCTTTGAAGCGTACACCGGGTAAGAAAGTAAAGCCAGAGTTGGAGTACTCCTACTTAGTGTTTGCCTGCATCGGGAAATACGGCAATTGAGAGAGGGTCCGGGAGCGTAGCCCTCGATAGGAAAATACGGCAATTGGAGGGTTCCGGTTTGTCACTTCCCAACCACCGTCCCCCCAGCTTTAAGGTAAACATTTTGTATTACTGAGTGTAGTCAGTGGCGATCTAGAGGCACCGGTAGGGAAGATAGATAATCGGGAGGGAATCTGGGGGCATAGCCCCCTGGTTAGGAGGAATTTTTGGTTCATACAGCGATCCTACTGATAGTTCATGCATTCAAGATGCGGTTCACTCGCTCGTTCATTTGCGCAACACCGTGTCGAATCATACGTGGCAGAATCTCCTCTCGGGTTCCTACATTTTTCACTTTATCATCTGAAATGCTATCCTTGGCTCGGATTTTCAATTTCCCACATTCTTTTGCTTTTTAAAATGCATGGTATGAACGAAATCACCCCCCCAACCCCCAATTCCCCACGGGAACCCCCAACATTGTTGGCGGGAGTCGGATGCAATCCTGTCGTTTATAGGCACGATCAAATCACAGAATAGGGATGAAAATCACAGAAATGTCAAACTGTAGCAAACATAGCATGTGTGTCCACTTGGTCCTAAGAATAAATAAAAATTTTGATGTGCGCCCCTGCCGGAAAAGTAGCTCTTCAGTGCAGGCTTCCGACAAAAAACACCGCAAAAATTTCCCAGCAGTCTCGATACGACTATGAATATTGTGTGAAATGACCAAGACAGAATTATTGACAGTGCTCAAGCACGAGTGTATGCTGGACGAATAGCCAAAATGTTATAAAATCCGGTGCCGGAACAATATCCACTGCGTTTATTTAAAGCCATTAAACATCATATCCATCACAGGAGGAGAGACAGAAGGAAATTGAACGCAGAAAGATGGGTCAAGAGATAGCCAAAAGGAAATTGGAGCAGGAAAACAAGGAGATCCGAGCTGCAGCTGAAGAACGCCGAAAAGACAAAGAAGAGGACAGATTAGCCAGAGAGAGAGTAAAGTGAGTATTCATAGATAAGGCTTGCTATAGTCTCCTATGGGTATAAACCCACTTGTGAGAAGCTTCTTCTTTCATTTAATACAGAACGGATGAAGATTTCAGTGAATGTCTTCCCTGCACAAAGGATTTTATAATTTTCAACAATTTGATATTCCTAGCAACCATAATGGAAAAATTAAAGTCCATGGATATTCTTTTGAAAGAATATATATTGTGATGGTATATATGTTCTGTTATGCAATAGTTAGTGTATTTGGTGTTATTGCAGAGCCCAGATTGCTGCTGATCGAGCAGAACGAGAGGCTCGTCAAGCTCTTTTAAGAGGGGAAGAACCTGCAGCTCCACAGTCAAGGCCTGTTGCTCCAGTTTCTGTTCCTGCTGCTTCATCAAATAAGTAAGATGACATTTATGTGTATGTATATGTATGTATGTTATCTGTGAGTGCGTGCGTGCGTATGTTAGAGTTTACTTTTCCTTCATAATATATGCCTAAAATAATTCTCCAGGTGCTCTCATGCAATTTACGGGACAAATTATGTATTTGCTGGGAGTATACTCTTGAGGAATTTGGATAAATGTCTGATATAGTTAAATGGTAGAAAATATGTTGCTGTTTCAGATTTTTATTGAAATTAGCATTATTTTTCCTTTATGAAATTCTTTGCAATATACAGTATATCATGGAATATGTTGAACACATTGTCTGTTTTTCTCTTTGTAGGAAGTTATCATAGTGAGGCACTGTCATTCATTTTTCTCCTTTTTCAGTAGCAACATTTCCAGGATCAAGTTCCGTCTTCCTGATGGATCCTCAAGCATAGCACAGTTTTCTTCGAGTACCACATTGGAAGAAGTAAGACAGCATGTGAGACAGAACATAAATCTTCCTTTCTCCAGTTTCACCTTGACATCAACTGTCCATAATAGACCATTTACATCAGAGGATAATGATAGGTCTCTTACTGACCTTGGCCTTGTACCATCTGCCATCTTGATTATTTTGTCTGTAAGTATTTAATTTCTTTATTCTGTTTATTTTTCAGCATGTACCTCAAACACATTATTGAAACAGTGATAGAGGATTGCATTTTTTTTATTCTTACCAAAATCTGTTGTGAAGATAACTGTGTAAGAGCTTATGCACTTATTAGTAACCAAAAACAAAATAATGCAAAGAATACATGATGTGATTGAAAGTCCTGGAATTGCTTTGGTTATAGACAAGCAAAGCAAGACATGGACTGTGCTATCAGTAGGAACAAGCCTGAACTGTTGTGAGTGACTGTAGCAAGGGTCTTTATGGTTCAAGTGCTAGGACTTCTGTTGTGCACATTTTTGTGACCAGAGTGTACACCCTGTCATTTGTGATTTCAACATGGAATGCAAACTCAAACAATGAGTGAACTTCAGATTCTGTGTCAAACAGCAAAATCTTGTAACAGACCTATGGCTATGAACTGGTTGAGGTGTTTTCAGTGGCTCTTGCACTTTTATCAGGGCAGGATATTATTGGAAAATGGCTTGACTGTGGGGACACCCTCTGTAAGTATAACTCCAGAAGATATCAGAGAAATTGAATGAATTGTGTATGAAGATCATTGGATTAGCATTACCTTTCTGTGATTGCAAGCATTGTTGTTACGTAACGCATCAAATTGTGCAAGCTTCTACTCAGAACTGAACATGTTATACTGTAACATTTTGAAGCATTTGAGGCAGGACATAAAGCTTAGTGATCAGAGACATACTGAATGCACCGTTATCCCCCAACCTGTGTAATAACTTGTATTATTTTTGATTTATGATATATATGTGTATTAAACTGTTATCTGAAGCATTTAAGAACTGTATAATAAAAAGAAATTTTTACTCCAGCAGAGCAGTATAGGAGGCGGTGGTAGTGTTGTTCCCTCTGGTGGGATAGTAGATTTCTTCTGGATTCTTCTTTCCCCCATTACATTTCTGCTTGGTTTAGTCCGGCAACTGTTTGGTGGAAATTCAGCACCTCGTTCTCCATCCACATCTGGGAGTGATGAACCTACAGCTAAAAGAGCTAGAGAGGAGGGACCATCTACTTCCCAACAGAGACCCCAGACGTAAGTAAATACGTTTCTGACGTAGAATTATATTCCCCCTGAATTACATGCCCAGTAAGCATAGATTTAACAGGAATCCATAAATTTACTACATTGTGATGATTTCCATTGAAATTGTTGTCTGGCCATCATCAAATATAATCATGTCTAGTCGATAACATACAGGCCACAGATGGTACAAGTACAAAGCCATGTCCACTGTCAGTTCAATTAATTGTGTTTAAAAAAGAGATGCCTCCATTGGTGCTTATTCTCCAAGGAGTCACTTATTACCATCTCACCGACTTACCCTTTTCCTTGATTTTTGGAAAGTTATTTTTTATCTTTATTTTTGCATTTTGATAAGATTGTAGTAATTATGGCAACAATGATAATACAATTATCAATACTGATAGCATTAAAAAAAAAATTCAGGGAATGTGGAACTCAAGTGTGGTCACTGGGCATACTAATTGACTCCTTGGTGGCTGAGTGCAACAAAATTCACAAAAAATACAGTGGACAGTAACATAAAAACATGAGTGATACTTACAGTCTAGCCACCTCAATATAAGAGACATATAATGTCGATCGTAGGTGTATATGCTCTGTGTCAGTGTTCTATCTCTATGCGCAATAAGATCATCTTTGCAATTTTATCAAAAAGCG